TCCTACACAAAGGATATGGGCTATGCTGAGGTAGATGGTTTTTATTTAATTAATCCTAAATCTAATGACTTTGTCTTGATTGAAAATGATGAACAACTGTATAATATAGTTTGTCACCTTAATCATCTTGATCATTTAGATTTGTATATTAAGCATGTATTTAATGAGCTTGTGTTGCTTGATGAGATTGTCCCATGTGGCCTTTTATGTGGGCCAGAAGTTGTTGAACCAAGTGAAAATACATTAAATAAAGAGGCTAGGGAAACATCTACTGTTCCAGAGGATATAAATGTCCAAGAAAGTGCTGCAGATAACACATCTATGCCTGAGGAAGATCTAGCTTATGTTGGGGTTGCAGGTGAGAATTTACAAGGGGCTGAAGAAACAACAAACATAGATGCTAGTTTGGCATCAAATCTATCAAGTAGTGAGTCTGAATTAGATAATATTACTAATGAAGATGATAGTGATGTGAATGAAGAGCTCACTTCATTAAGGCATAAAAGAAGAAAGAAGAAAAAACAGAAAAAACAAAGAAAGAAACCTACTCCAACTAAAGAGATTATTCTGGGAGAAGCTGAAATAGATAAAGACTTTGAGGATATTGGCAGACCATCTAAGGAGGACAGGTTTGCTGGAAAATTAGGAGGGGATGAAGACTACTACACCAGTTCTGATATTGGAAGTGATGATAGCACAGATGAGTTAGATATTTTAGCTGAAAGGGGTATTGACTTACCTCCTAGAAGGAGAAGTAAAAAGGTAAGGTTTGACCCTGACTGTTACCTTGCTATTTTTGAGCTTGGTATGGTATTTGAAAATGCTGTAGAGTTTAGAAAAGCAGTAGCCTCATATGCTGTGGAGAACAAAGTGCAACTAACAATTAGGCCTAATGAAAAGGATAGGGTTAGAGTTAAGTGTAAAGGAGCCAAGTGTAACTGGAAATTGTATGCAAGCAATTATGGAGATTTATGTGACTTTACTGTGAAGAAGTACCATCCAGCTCATAAGTGCAACACCAAAAATAAGAACAAATTATGTACTTCTAAGTTCATTGCCAATAAGTATAAAGATAGGATTATTTCCCAGCCAAATATTAAGTTGTGGGAGATTCAGGATTTGGTCAGGGATAAGTTAGGTTTGTATGTTGGAAGGACTGTTTGTTACAGGGCTAAGTGTAGGGTGATAAGTCAATTCATGGGTGACTGGAGGATGGAATTTAACAGACTTGCTGATTATGCTGATATTATTAAGCAAACAAATCCTGGGAGTTCATGCTGGATCAAAACAGATTGTGAGACTATTCCTGGCAAGAATCTGTTTGTCTATTTCTATCTATGTTTAGATGCTTTGAAAAGAGGATGGTTAGAGGGGTGCAGAAGGATTATAGGATTTGATGGCTGTTTTCTAAAGGGAATCTGCAAGGGTGAATTACTTGTTGCAGTTGGTAGAAATGAGAACAATCAAATCTTTCCTATTGCATGGGCTGTAGTTGATCAAGAGACAAAACACTCCTGGAGCTGGTTCATCACATATTTGATTGCAGATTTACAGTTGGGAGATGGTGTTGGCTTAACTGTTATATCAGATATGCAAAAGGTAAAGTTACAATCAACTTTTAATTTTTCTTTTTCCTACTTTATATATACTGTCTACTAACAGTTATTACTATTTTTTGTAGGGACTAGTACCAACTATAAGGGAATTACTACCAATGGTAGAACACAAAATGTGTGCTAGACACATTTGGTCTAACCGATCCAAGAACCGGAGAGGTGAAGAAAGGAGGAAACAATTCTGGAGATGTGCCAAAGCATCTTATGAAGTAAAATTCAAGGAAGAACTGGAAGCAATGAATAAGCTTGGTTATAAGATATGTGAAGACTTGTTGAAGTATGATAAAGAGTATTGGTGTAGGGCATACTTTAGAGAAGATTCAAAGTGTGATGTCATTGAGAATAACATGTGTGAAACATTCAATTCTTGGATAGTAGGTCCTAGGCACAAGTCTGTTATAACTATGTTGGAAGAAATTAGACATAAAATCATGAATAGGATCATTAAAATGAGGAAGTTTGCTGAGACTTGGGTTACTGACATTGCACCAATGGCTAGGATGATACTGGAAGAGAACAAAGCCCTTTCTAGGAGGTGTAAGGTTACGTGGAATGCAGAACATGGGTTTGAAGTTGATGAAGGTGTGTACAGATTCATTGTTGATTTTAGGACCATGACATGTACTTGTAGATCATGGATATTAAGGGGTATTCCATGTCAACATGCAGTATGTGCATTCTATGATAGAGAAATGGACTCATATGATTATGTTTTCCACTGGTATAGGAAGGAAACTTTCCTTAAAGCTTACCAGCATTTCATTCAACCAATTCCCAACATGAAGATGTGGTCGGATTCAACAAATCCATCTTTAGAGCCTGCGGAACCTAAACCTATGCCAGGTAGACCAAAGAGATGTAGGAGAAAAGCCAAGGATGAACCAAGAAAAAAGCATAGTAAACTATCAAAGAAAGGGTTAAAGATGACTTGTTCAAACTGCCAACAAACAGGACACAACAAATCTGGATGCAGGAAAGGGGTAAATTCTGATATTTGTAATTCTGTCTTTTACATTCTTTTTTTGCAATTCTGATATTCTTTTCTTTTACTTCTGTCAGCATGTTCCAAGAAGTGCTACTCAACAAAGTCAAAATATGCCACCACCTCCACCAAGATCATCTCAGAAAATACCATCTCTACAAAGCAATCCATCCTTTATATGTGAGGATACAAGTATTGTCAAAAGACAAAGCAACAACCAATCAACTGGGCTTGGTAGAGGAAGGGGAAGAGGAAGAGGCCATGGACTAGGTAGGGGAAAAGGAAGAGGAACTACACTAGGAGGAGGTTCGGCTAATGCAACAACCATTGGACATAAAAGGCCAAGGCATACTGGTTTTGGGATTTTCACTAACACTATGACTGGAACTGCTATCCTGAATGTAAGGGTGTATAGTTTATTATAATGCAGTTTTGTGGGCTGGAATTGTTCTATTTTTTACTAATTCATTATATTTTACAGCCTGGTATATCATATGAGAGAGTCATATCAGCTGGGACATTCAAGGATATATCTGCAACTAACATAGACATTGGATTTAAGCCCTCCGGATTGAAGTTTAAAAGAAGAAATGCAGTGACAAGGTCACAACTTCAGCAAATGAGTGCAGCAAGGAAAAAAGGTTCTTCAAGTCAAACAAGTTCAGCTGCATCTACACTGTGAAGCAGACCAGTTTTTATTTATGTTATCTAAGATGTCACTACCAGTTTTTTGTTTGGGCAGTTATGCTCTATTAGAGTTTACTAGTTTGGGCAGTTATATGTTTGGGAAAATAATGCTCTGTTTTTTGTAATTTATAGACCAAAACAATGCTCTATTTTTGAGCTTGGATGTAATGCTAGTCCATCACATTATGCAATGGAATGTTTAGGCAGTTATGTTTTCAATTCATGAATATGAATTTGCATTTCATTCATAACACATTATGGAAGTGCAGCTGAACTTAAATTTGCATTAAAAATTGGTCATTTCCATTTCATTCATAACAAGATAGTGTACATTAACAAAAGACCAAATTCCTAGTACCTGCTTCCAACATATTACATTTTTCTTGAACTAATAGCAGCAACTACAACACTATTAGCAAAAGCATATCATAAAAATACTACATTGTTCTTCAAACCACCAGCATCACCAAAGCCAAATCCATAGAAACAGCACCACCACCACAACAAATAACCACTTTAACCGCACAACTGTTTTCTCAGTTCTTTCGACTCTCTTCAACAGACCCCGTATAACCCTCTTAGCTTGGTCAAACATTTCATCATCATGCCATTTGAAATATTTGCAGCCACCTCGACACTATAAAATTCAAAAAGAAATGCGGCCAAAAAAATTAAAAACAGATTTTTTTATTAAGAAATTCAAGGGTCTAACAAAAACAATACGATCGACTTACCAATTTACAACCATAAAATCGACGACCTGGGTTTGCAGATGACCATGATATAGTCAGTGGCGCATTAAATCCACAGTGGCAAATTTCCATTCCATTGCGAGAAGTTATTGATTTTTGTGACATGGAACTGATAAACGAGAAAGATGAGGAAGAAATCAGATCAAGATTCAAGCTTGGGCACCTAAGCTTCAGTAGAAGGGGAAAATGACGAATTTGCAAGGGAAGAAGACGAAAGAGAAATTAGGGCATTCTTGAGAGAAAAAATGGGAAAATTTGGTGTTTTAAAGTGGGTCTAACGGGTGGGTTTTATTTTTACCGTTGGAATATCTACCTAAGCAAATATTAATAACATTCACGCGCTTATCATGTGTGGACATAACGCTCCTTTGGCCGGACATGCGTTGTGTTTAAATGGTATACACCAAAATAGAATTAAAGTGTTCAATAGGAAAAGAGCTAAGTTAAGGTGTCAAAATGGAAACTGGAGCCAAGTTTAAGGGGTCGTCTATATATTTGCCCTATCTGGTACAATGAGCTTATCCTTTCGGTACCCCGCAATAGATAAATATTACACCGGTAGAAGATTATCTATATCTGGTACAATGAGTTTATCCTTTCGGTACCCCACTATGGATGAACATTACCCCCAATACAAGATTATCTATATTTGATATAATGAGCTTATCTTTTCGATACTCCGTTATGGATAAATATTATTCCGGTAGAAGAATATCTATATTTGGTATAATGAGCTTATTATTTCGATACTCTATTATGGATAAATATTATACCCGATAGAAGATTATCTATATCTGGTACAGTAGTAGAAACAGTTTACACAACAACTTGCTTTATTCTATAATTAGATGAGATTTCAGTTTATTACGTATGTAACTTTAAAATTTGAATAATAATATATCATTTTGTTTGTATACTTATATTTACTATATGTGTTTATTTTATAACAATATTTCATTTTTTGCGCCGGTCGGCACTTGTAACGTCATCACCCTTACTTTTGACTTTCACAAGTCATCAGTCCACCGCCAAGACTACAATTTTCTCCGGCGAGATCGTCGTTCCGTCAATATCTCTGGCCGCACAAAAATCGCCAATCCTGACGGTGTTTGCATTTCAGTAGTTTTCGCCGTATTTCTCGCTAATGCATGTCGCTATTCTTATAGAGAGGGATGGGATTATTGCGAAGACTAGCTGGATTTCTAGGGTTTTCAAGAGAAGAAGGGCAAGAAGCGAGAGATGTAGAAGATAACACCGACGGTAATATAGCAGCAGCAGCTGCAGCAGCTCAAGCTCAGAATGTTCCACGCAGGGGTTTCAGTGTCCCAATTCAAGTCCCGGTTGAGAAAGCACAATTCGGCCCTATCCTCTTTCCTTGTAGTTCACGCGACGGTGCCATTCAGGTATTTAAACGGAGATTATATTCATTTATTGTAATTTTGACTTTGATTTTGTTGATATGCTTTAAACGGACTCATAAATCCTAATTTTATTGTTCTGAGTTAGTATTCTTATTTAAAAAACTCACTCTACTAACCAATTGAAGAATGCCTTTGAAACGTGGTAAATGAGTTACTGCTATCTCCATTTAAAATCTCGAAATGATGTGCTTGTTAACCACGATTTATCAGTGCACCTAAAGAGTTTGTTATGTTTGTTACACACATTGAAGTACACAATTAGAGAAGATTGCATTTGAGCAGTTAGTGTTTGGGCTGTTGATTGATCCTATACTTGATAATTTTGGGTTTTGTGTGTGTGCCGACTTCACTTTATTTAAGATTAAAGATAGGGGCTGGGCAGTAAGGAAGGCACATTTATTGAACAAAGAGTAAGCTGCAAGCACCTACTCCTATCAAAATGAAAAGTAGCAAGCAGTAGTTGAACTTGAAGAAGCAATGTATATAAACAGGTAGAGGTTTTTGTTGTTTCTTGTTAAACTCCAATCAGACCCAAACTCATAAATGTAGATAAGATAAGCCATTTGGTGGAAGGTGGAAGGTGCAAGGTGGCCGAAAATTGTGTAAAGAGGATGTGCTAATGTTGGTGCTAAACTGCTAGTAAAGAGATAATGGGGTTAGAGGGGAAGCGGTTTCTGTAAATTGACCATTGGCAAGATTCTCAAAGTAGCACTACCATTGATGCTTGCTAGAGGTGTCATAGAGGGCCCAGTTGTATAATCTCTTCGGTAGAGGGAATATGGAGTTCCTTATTTTGCAGTTAAATGTTGAAAGTAACTTTTGGTGACATATAGGCAAAGATGAGTCACCTCTGAAAGTGTAGCCATACATATCTAGCTTGGTATCCATCCCTCGCAAAAGTTTCTATAAGTAAGATAAAAGAGCTTGAACTTCATCTAGCTAGATCGGATTGTCATCGGAAGATTCCGTATATGCTTTCTATCCAAATTGTTGAAATAAGATGGAAGTGGTTTCACTTGGCAGAAAGTTATGACTTATGAGAGTGGTGCAGTACTGTGGAAGTAGGCCAGTTCAACATTTAAAGTATTTTGCCAGGGAAACTACCTTCTTTTACCTCTAAAATACGCTTTAAAAGATTGCATCTAAAGGTAGCTCCAAGAAATGGGAAAGTAAGGCAGTCAATGTTGTCGTCACTGTATAGAGCACTTCAACATGAGACCACTCCTTCGCTAAATCTATATGGATTCCCGGAGATTGTAGGTCCTTCGAATCCTTCCGTATGATTTTAGGTCTACTCCATACTATTTTAGCACCTTCACTCACTATGGTTTCACAATTATAGACCGGTGCATCTGAGATCGATGCAAAACATGACCAAATCATGTCAAGCAACCTTCTTATTGTTTGTGCTCGATGTGCTATTTGAATCTTCTCACCAGTGTTGTGAAGAGCGTGAAGCGAGGGAAAGCGACAAGCCCTTTTTCGCTTAAAGCGAGATTCGCTTCTCGCTTTTTTGAAATGAAGCGGAATTTAAAAAAAAATATTAAAATAAATACTGCATAGACAACACATGTAACTGTAAGAAAAAATGGGCAGCATTTCAATCTTTTTATCACTGAAACAGTGCAACAAAATGAAGAAGAAGAGGAGAAGAATGAGAAAGAAGAACTGAAGGGAAAAAAAAAAAATTCGCCAGCATTTCACTGCTATTTGGACGCTGAAACAGTGAAAGAAAAAGAAAAAGAAGAAGAAGAAAGAGGAGGAGGAGTAGGAATAAGAAATCACATACCTGGGACCAAACTTGATGATCTTGAAGTTGAAAAGCGTAGAAAACTTAAACCCTAGGTCGCCTCTTTCTTTCTCTATTGCTGCTGCTCGATGGTGTTTTAAAAAAAGACAACTTTTTTAATTAAATACGTTGGCAGCCCAGTTATAAAGAGAAGCACTCGCTTCTTACGCTTCGCATCGCTTCATCGGTCCTCGCTTTTTCAGGTGAAGCGAGCGCTTTTGTAAATCTGCTACGCTTCAGCTAACAGAAGCGCCAGATACCTCGCTTCGCTTCTCGCTTTAAGCGAGGAAACACTCGCTTTTTACAATCCAAAACTTAGCCTGTCGTGATGGCGCCTGAAAAAATTTCGCCAGCATTTCGCTACTATTTGGACGCTGAAACAGTGAAAGAAAAAGAAGAAGAAGGAGGAGGAGGAGGAAGAAATCACATACCTGGGACCAAACTTGATGATCTTGAAGTTGAAAAGTGTAGAAAACTTAAACCCTAGGTCGCCTCTTTCTTTCTCTGTTGCTGCGGCGTTTTAAAAAAAGACAACTTTTTTTATTAAATACGTTGGTAGCCCAATTATAAAGAGAAGCGCTCGCTTCTTACGCTTCGCATTGCTTCATTGCTTCTCGCTTTTTCAGGTGAAGCGAGCGCTTTTGTAAATCTGCTACGCTTCAGCTAACAGAAGCGCCAGATACCTCGCCTCGCTTCGCTTCTCGCTTTAAGTGAGGAAGCGGTTCGCTTTTCACGACCCAAAACTTAGCCTGTCGTGATGGCGCCTAACGTGGTACTAGGTAAGTTGACACTTCAAAATACTTCCAACACTTTTAAATGAAAAATAAGAATAACACAGCTGTAAATCATCAAAATCCTCAAAACTGGATAGAAAGTCAAAACTCAATATGGAAATTCCCAACATCGGGGTGTCACTGAGTACATGAGCGTCTATACAACACAAGTCTAGAAATACTGTCTATGAAAGACTAAAACTAAGTACATAAAGCTGAAAGATAGGGAAGGAGAGATAAGGTCTGCGAACGCCCTTGGAATCTCCAAACGATCAAGCTGTGCAAAGAAATCAACACCCACCGTATCTGGAAACACCTGGATCTGCACACGAAGTGCAGAGTGTAGCGTTAATACAACCAACTCAATAAGTAACAAGACTAAATAATGGACTGAAAGTAGTGACGAGCTTCACGAATATAGTTCAATTACAGAAATTACAACATAGAAAAATAGACATGCTTTCAAGTTCAACAGTTAAACTCAGTGCAAGTATGATCGATCAATTTTGAATGATATGAGGAATACGACCTCTCTATATCTACATGCCAATCTACATGCTGTATGTAATGCACCACACTAGAAGCTTCGTGTACTCACACTCTCGGAATACTCAATCACTCAGTACTGTATATGGCCAATCCAACCCAGGAAAGAGTACTGTATAAGGCCCATCCAGCCCAGGGAAAATCCATCCCTAAATATAAATGATTCGGGCAAGATCCATGCCCTGGGAAGATCCATCCCTCAATATAAATCAACTACGCTCACTGTGGGTGTGCAGACTCCGGAGGGGCTCCTTCAACCCAAGCGCTATAACATGCCAATCATGGCATAAATCAATAAAACATGTTGCGGCGTGCAGGCCGATCCCATAAATATCCTCATAATCAGGCCCTCGGTCTCACTCAATCATCAACCTCTCCAGTCTCTCAGGCTCTCAGTAATCATGATAATTAGTCCAAACAGCAATGATATAATGTATCAACAATGAACAATAGAGACTTATGTCGCGGAACCGTTTTTCTGAGGGTTCGACGAGGGCAGCGAAGTTAGCCTGACTGCTACTTAGCTTCAACCCTTAGACAATAAATAGCACAATCGTGCTAAAGCGATGGCAATCACACGAAACAAACAAAAAAGCTATGAAAGAAAGAGACTCGGATTTGGAAGGCAAGTGCCAATTTTCTGTTGTATTATGCAATATCTGATGCTTACAAAGAATGAGTATAAAGCCTATTTATAGAAACTAAAATGGCTATACAAAGGGGGTGGTTGGCAGGGCTGGTAAGGCTGTTCTAGCAGCCTGGTGCATTGCAGCATGGAAAGCTGGAAAGACAGACTTAGTGGATCCTGCTGTCAACCATGGCCCAGAAGGTCAAAGATGCCTTCCCACTTTTGGCTGCTTGTCCCTTGGTCTGCTGACTTTGTGCCAAAGGTGCCTTCTGATGGCATCTTATGATTTCTGTGTGGCCCCAAGTGTTTTTCCACTGATGGCAGTCCGAGATCTGGGCTAGGACAAGCCACGCCGTCGCTGAAATTGCGGAAAATTAATAGGTGTGACGGCGGGGCGGTGTACTCTCCCCCACTTGAAATAGCGACGACCCCGGCGCCGCACAACTGAAGATAATTGTGGACTTGTTCCCTGAACTGCCACAAATCTTCGTACTTCTCCCATGATGCCTCCTCTAGCGAAGTTCCTTTCCAGTGAACAAGGAACTGTGCGCTCGAATTGCCCCATCCTTTTCCACTGACCAACTGATGGTCTATGATGGCTTCCACTTGCTTGTCTGTTGCTGGTGGAGTAGAAAAAATTTGGCTTCGGCTGGACTGCGCCCGATCTTTGTCTTCCATGTCTTCGAAATATGGTTTTAATTGGCTAGCATGGAAGACAGGATAGATTTTCAGATGACGCGGCATGTCCAGTCGGTAAGATATTATACCCACCGTGGCAACAATTTCGAATGGGCCCTCATATCGGCGAATCAGACTATGATGTACGCCTCGCAGTGATTTGAACTGCCGTGGATTCAATTTCACCATGACCTTGTCTCCAATCCTATAGTTGACTGGACGACGCTTCCGGTCCGCAAATTTCTTCATTTTGCGGGCAGCCTTGTCTAGATATGACCTGGCTAGATCGGCTTGTTCTTCCCAAAACTTGGCCATGTGATAAGCCCCCGGATTTTTCAATCCGACGTTGGCGGGCAATGATTGAGGAGTGTTGGGCTGTTGCCTAGTTGCAAGCTCAAAGGGACTCTTCCCGGTCGCTTCGCTGCGTTGCAAATTGTAAGAGAATTGGGCTATATCCAGTAGCTTAGCCTAGTCTCTTTGATTGGCGCTGACATAATGCCTCAGATAACATTCAAGCAAGGCATTAATCCTTTCTGTTTGTCCATCTGTTTGCGGATGGAAACTTGTT